CCATAATCCATCATCCATCATTCATCCATCCATCCATCATCCATCCATCCATCCATCCATCCATCCATCCATCATCCCCTCCTTCACCATAATAGACCGGATCAGTTTCCACATTATGATGTTTGAAGCCTTGTTTTATCAAACCGTTCCTCTCTCCATCCTCCCATCACTGCTGATGAAGACTTCCAGAAGCCTAAATGTGAAGTAGAGACACCTCTCTGACCCAGAGGCTCCAACAAAACTAGATCAGCTGCAAAAAGCAGAGATAAAACTCTGAGGTTCCCAAAGCTGTTGCACACCTCTCCACAACTACAGCTTAAAGTTAATCACAAGTTACTGATATTTTATCAGCTGCCAAACACAAGAAAACAGCAATAGAACAACTTTCACTAGTGACTGCATTCATAGAAAAAAAGCAGCTAAATTCTAAAGGAAAACCTGAAATTCATGAAAATGTACAAAAATGCATTCACTGAAGGAAACTCTGTTTCAGTTTGAACCTGATGGTCAGCTCAAATATCCCAAACTATCAACACAGTAACGTTTAATGATAAACCAAACTGACCAGCAAGTAGCAATTCTAGGAGGGAAATATTTCCTTTTACACTCAGTTAACTGCATTTTATTAAAACAACTCTTCTCTTGTTCAGCCTTATTGAACAGACTGCAGTGTTTTCAGGCTCTAACATGAAATCAAACCATACAACCTGAGCACTTATTAGATATGCTGTAGAATAGTGAAATATTAAAGATCTGTACATCATTTTGTCACTTGTTTAAGCATTAACCACATGACTGGCTTAGCAATCAGACTTTTTGACCCCAAAAAGGCCCACGGCCCACCAGTTGAGAACCCCTGCTTTAAAAGCAGAAGGTTTGTGAACAAACTGCAGTAATGAGAGCTGGTTTCCAGCGTCTGCAGAGTGCTGAACTAACTCGTTTGTGCAGCTCTGTAACCTGACAGTGATAAGTGAGCTGTCGAAGCTCCGACTTAATTAGTGTTTGTTTGTGTCGAGTGAAGGCACACAGCAGAAAGGAGTCGCCTCGTGAGCAGAAATGTCTCTGCTCGTGTTGCTTTGATAACCCGTGCAGCGTCTGARGCCATCTGGCTCCATCCTGCATGTTTGTGGTGAGGAGAAGCTGGTATCAGTCATCACGTCAGTGAGCACGCTCCCAGCTGGACCACCACCTGCTGTCAGAACGGACCTCTGATGACGGACAGACAGCGTTCTGCCTCCGGTCCCATCAGTGTGTGCTGGGCCCAGCAGACCCTGCTGAGGAACTGAGTTCACTTTACTGACAAAATGTTCAGTTTGTCACAAATACAACATGTTCACATCTTTAAACACCACATGTCCTTCAGTGGCTCAGCTCGTTCACACTGAAGTCAAATATAAAGACAGAAAATTCATAAAGTTTAAAAAACTTTAAAAATAAAGTTTTATCTTATCTTATCTTATCTTATCTTATCTTATCTTATCTTATCTT